GCTGAACGGAGCGCCGTGGCCTGCCGCAGCACGGGGCTGCACACGCGGTACCTTTCTGCCTTTTATGTTCTGTTGTCCTGCACGTGCCTGACGTCCGGTTACTCCTGCTCTCCTCCCGTTTGTCGTGCTTAGTCTGCCTTTTTTGGTTTCCCTGAAATTGTTATTTAAGTGGGTATTTAACGTTTCGCTGATTTGGCTGGCTAGCACCCCAGGTTCTCTTACCCTCTTTGCTTAGAAGCAAGCTCTAGTGCTGGTGTTTTCATTTGGATGTTGTTTAAAAAGGTTACGTTCAGTAAGCTAACTTTGGTATTAGAGATGTTATCAAAAGTATTTTCCCTCTTCACCTGCCGGGAGGGATGTGAGCATGAATACCAGTTTCCTAACGTAACAGCAGCTTTAAGTATCAGGTTCGAATGAACTGGGGCAGGGAGGTTTATGCTAACTGTCCTCAGGTGCCTGAGGAACACATGCTGAGCTAAATGTAATTTGATTATAAAGAAGACTCAAACAATGACCTGTGGGAATATTTCCTTACAGGCCAGGCTCTGCAGAATTAAGACTGAAGTCTGCATACCACCATCTTTTGGGAGATGTCTACAAAACAAGCTCTGGACAAGGTCATGGGAAAAGGAAGATGCTCGCCCACCCTGTTTGCAGTCACAAAACTGGCGAGCTGGTGCTCTTAATTATCTTGGGAGACAGCGAAAGCCATCTGTCTGTCTTTGCCATTCGGCCAATGCTGCTGTGGTCCGACAAAAGGCTGTGGATGAGAAAACAGAAGAGTTCAAACTGGTCTATAGGTTTCCGGGGATTAAGTACTGCAGGGTACTGTCCAGACTGAAGCTGTTACAGACAGCCACCACCGTGGTGGTGCTGCCTCCCATCTGCCACCTCTATCTGCAAGACCAGGTTTCTCAGCATCTCCTCTTGTATACAACTGGCATTGCGCTTTTCGCTGGTGCAATGTTGTATGGTATGAGCTACTTTTTCAGACGAATTATTGGATTAATCTACTTAAATGAAACTGGCCGTACTGTCAAAGTGGCCCACTTGACGTTCTGGGGAAGACGGAACGACATTTACTGTCCCATAGAGACAGTGATGACACTGGATGAAGTTGGAGATAGCAAGGGGGAGCTACTTCTCCAGTTCAAACGGTATAATAGTACAGATATTTTATATTTTACGATTAAGTTTGGCCAGATTGTAGACAGGCAGAGGTTTACTCAAATATTTGGAGAACTCCAGTGATACAGCAGCTAATTTTCAGTGGTTTTCCTTGTTGTGTGTTCATTGTGCTTATTCTTTGGTGAAGTTTAATTAGTTTATCAAACTGACATACTTCTGTCATTTTCCTGTGCAAAGCCTGCTGGTAAGTGTAGAAAGGAGAAATGGTACAATCCACGGGGTTAAATGTCTCTGCAGCTTGTTTAAGGTGTGCGCAGCATCTCTTCTGTGTTGGATACAGTGATGTGCATGGTGCACCGTCACCAGCAGTTGTAAGTCTACGCTGTCCTGCTTGGAAGGTGCAGTAGGAGGCCGAGTCACTGCTGCCGGCCTTGCCTGCTTCAGCTGGCCTCAAAGATTGTTTTGAAACAGAAAGAACTCTTGAAGTGAAATGCAGTAACTCTGCCAGAGGAGCCTCACTTTAAATTCATTGTTTCTTTTAGTGGATTTGAGGTTAACTGGGAAGCCTCTTGAAATTAAAACTTGTCTGAAACATATATGCGATAAACAATGCTGGATGTCAGAGATATGTGCTCATGCATTAATGAAATGGAAGTAACTGGAAAGAGCAGTACACGATGCTGTGTAAGGGGCGTGGGGTCTCTTGGCAAGGTTTTCCAGGATGTGAATGTAACTGGTCAAAACAACGGGGATGCGCTGCAAGACATGTGGTTCAGCTGTAAGGGTAAGTTAAAGACTGGAACAGCATTTCTGGAGCCTCTCATAGAAATTGCTTTGCTGTTGGAATAAAGGGAAAATATAAGCTACGGTGCTGGGAACTACAGGGACAGCCTGGGATCCTTTGTTCGGTTTGGATCCCAGTGACAGCTGAAAACTTGGAACTACTTGTCCTTCTTTGCCTATATTCATGTTTGTGTTTGTTTTGTATGTATGAATGGCATTTAATCAATGCTGTAACACTTGAGTTGCAAAAACTTCAGTAAACATTACCAAAAATTATCTTAGACTATGTGAGTGAAGCGGTCTTCTGTGAAGAGTGTATAGCCTTGGAAACAAGTCATCTGCAACCCTTAATGAGTTTACTGATTAGGGCCTGTCATCAAAGCTCTGTTGCCAAATACCGTTTCCACTCCCTACTCTCCCAGTCTGGGCTTGTTTAAAATGAAAAGAAAAAAGGTAAGGCACCTACAAGCTATACTGAATTAAGGCTAAAAATATGTGTACTTTGTATTCTGTTGAACTTGGAGGGTTGATCACCTCAGTACCTGTGTCTGTGAAGGCCAGTGGGTTTATTCTGTGGAGTTAGTACGATTCCTCCTTTTCCAAACCCAAAACCTTAGTAGGAATGAGGAGCAGGGTTTAAACCTGAGAAAGAATCAAATCTGAGCACTTGTAACAACACAGAACTTTTTTTGAATTATCAGAAGCAAGTTAACTCCTTACATTGCTCTTCTGGCTGTTATTTCACTCGAAACAATGGCAAATAAGCTGACCCTTGTGAATAGAGAAATTTGGAGTGTTCTTTGCCCTCTTTCTTCCTCACGCGTACTGAAATCTGTCTCTTGCTGCATCAGCAGATGCAGGTAAGTAAAACTGCCCTTTAAGTGCACGGGCTAACCCTGACTTACGATTTATTCATGTTGAACTTTTCCTAATGAGGGCTCTATTATTTTAAATTTTGGCCGATAGTGTGTGGTACAGAAGCGTCAAGAGGAATAGAGAAATGTTCCTTGGCTTAAAAACCCTGGCATCAAAATACAGCGGACTGTATGCATACAGCATGTTTTGTGGAGGCTTATCTTCACAAGAATATATTTAATACACACTAATGATTCAGTTTAGGTGTGTACAGGTGTAAAATAAAAAGCCCCAGAGAAGTTCAATTATAAATATTTTATTTAAGAATACTGATTACACGAGATGTAATTTTTTATGAGTCTGTGTCCAGTTACTAGTTACACCATGAAGTGTAGTTCAGTATTTGTTTAAACATTTATTTGGCACTGTCCACAGTATGCTGTAAACAATATTAATTTTATATGCTTCAGCTGCAGTGCTTCCTATGTATTCTCTAACATGATTTCATCAACATGTTGTACACCATTATACAGTTACTGAGTGTCAGTAAAAATTATAAAAACACCTAGAGTATTCATAATAAAAGAGAAGATGTGGTAAGACTTCAAATTACTGGACCTTTGCTTCTGTAAAAGTACAAGACTTGCTAGAGACATTTACTAAAACTACTGCACTGATATGTTGAACAAACTAATTCCAAAATGCTGTCAAATACAGTTCTTGGTCTGACTTGCCTCTTGCTGATAATACGCTTACAAGGACAGCGATGACAGTGAGGGTTTGCTGAACACCAGTTCACCAGTCCTTCCCCCAGATTTCTACAAACTCCGCTCAAAAACCTGCTCGGGTTCTGACCAGCTGGTACCAGAGTTCTGGTTTCTGCAGAGAGGTTTACAGAAATCCCATTATTTTTAAGTGAGCAGAAGTGAGTGTGTTTCAGTTTCCCGATACCAGCACTCAGAAATTAAAATGGGAAAAACCGTGATTAACACTTCTCAAAGCAGGTAAGAAACCTTTCACATTTTGGTAGCTGTATTAAATATGTCAATCTTTTAACTGCTCTTTCATTATATACTTAAAAATTGTGGTCAAATCCTAATATGGCAACTGTAAAGTCCACTGTGGTCCCTGTTTTTTGGTGCAGAACCGAAAGTTAAACTCGTAAGCAAAATCCAGGTGCTTGGTAGCCAAGAAAAAAAAAAAAAGGCACCAGACCTAGTTCGGGTCAGCCTTGAGCAAACAGCAAAGAGGTGCCCAAAACAATTCTCTGAAGAGAAACACATCAGTGACCTGTTGACACTTCTTGATCCTGAGCTTTCTAGAAGCTCTCTGAAGTTATCAATGACTTAGAATTCACTACTAGAACAAAAATAGAATTACTTTGCATTATAAATGTGCAATTAGGCCTTCACTGTAGTGGCTCTGATGTCAGGCAATGGCTAAAGTCAAGCAATTCTGCTGTAATTTTACCAAATACCTCAAGTATTCATGTAGAACTTTTGTAATAGATAAATTTAATGGCTTCTTTGTATTATGGGCAAACGGTAAAATAGTCTCAAAATCATTCTAGACAGCTGGCAGAGGTGGAAATAATGTGCTTCACGATTCTCTAAGCTTTGTCAGTTTACATAGTTTAGGGTATGGTTTTCTCTGTACAAGTCTGATTGTAAGAGAAATTTTAAAATCCAGGATGAGGAAAAAAGTACACGTCCTTCAGTTCCACTTACAGCGCTGCACGTGTGGCTGAGTGCATGAGTGCCTCTGAAGCAGTATGTGCAGGCTGAAGGGTGGGCACAGAGGAGCTGATGGCATCCTGATCCAGTGGCAGACGACTGTATTCAGGGGATAAAAGCTGGAAATTGTTCTGTAAAATACTGTGCTTGGCAGTGCTGGAAAGCAGAGCTTTCCTTGAAACACCTATTTTATTCCAGCTGCCACGAGGGAATGGCACTGTCTGTATGGCAGGCACATGGCGCTAAGCGTTGTGCCGCACTTGCTGCTGCTTCTGGGCGCAAGAGCAAATCTACTGGGTTTACCTGTGAAAGTGGACTCTACCAGGTCGTATTTAGACAATCAAAGAGTCAGGGCCATGAGCATAGAGAGGGCTCTGCAATGAACATGACCCAAGCCAGAAGACAGAGGGCCACAGCTTCTACAAATGCACAGTGTGGGACAGCTGTGAGTACCTGCTGGTGACCAGTACCAATGCTCTGCCTGGGTTGAGTTTGCATGGAGCAGCTTGCCTTGGGCAGGATTACAGACAGAACAAACCTCAGTTTATGACTTTACACTTATCTTGTGAGTAAAGAAGACATGAATTAATGCAAACTAATTTCATAATCAGCTGTTTGGTGCGAGGGAACTGCTTTTTACTTGAAGTTTGCTAAGATGTCACTGAAAATGTTCAGAAAGAGGTGCGCATGATGATCCTTGAAGATCAGCGTTGGACGAAAACGAATCGATCTGTCGCCGCAGCCTCCCAGCATGACACCTAAAACAAGAACAGAATAGGTCTTCTAGTCATTTCTGTATCTTTGCCAAATGTCCAGAAAAGGCAGGTCTCCGAATGAGGCTTGCCTCACTGTGCAGGGCCAGTGGAAGCGCCCCAAATCCCTGCTAACCACACAATGATCAGCACGTACTCAGTGCTGCAAAGGGGCCTCAAGCTTTGGGGCAACACAGAAGAACACTGCGGGTGCCTGTAGCTGGTCTGGAAAACACTTGGAACGCTGGGACTAATCCCAGCATCAGTGGAAGACTCCATCCAGCGAAGAGCTCAAAACAGCATCTGAGCCTTCAAAGCTGCAACACTCCACTGGTTAAGGACCTCAATCCCAGAACAAGACACAGTAGGTTTCTTTGCAATTTTGTTTTTAAACCACTTCATTTTAAATTACAGAAAGTTAAAATATCTGGCAAAAAAAAGCTGGCAAACTCCTTCCTGCAGTACTTTAAATGGATGGGGTTTTTTTTAACCCCTAAATCAATTAATTCTTCAGAATGTTTGGGCAATGAAAATCCGCACCGTTGAGCTGAGCTCACCTTGCCTCTAAGCAGAGCTTTGGCTTCCCTCCCTGCTGGCTTAGGTTCCAAGAACAAAAAATACCATACCCATGTCTTTCACGGTCTAAAATTTTGGTTTCACAATAGTTTAGATGCATCAAGCCTGCTTCTTTCAAGAGATGGGAGTAACAGCAAAAACTTGACAGCACAAACACTGGGCGCCCACAGTTAAATTCAAAGAGAACGTTAGGCTGCAGAGCACCAGGTTCCCCTCCTGGTGCTTGGGCTTGTCTGCGGCTGGGCCAGAGTTCTGTGGTACAAGAGGGCTGTGGTTGTAGATCTGTGCCCCTTTTAGACAACTTGTTGTATTTCATTATTAGGTATTCCACAAAATTCATAGTTTTTCTCCCTGTGTTTTCCTGAGTGACAGTTACATTAACTTTCTTCTAATTTTCCCGGTCTGTCTCTAGAAGTAAGCCATG